TGCCAACGTGCGTAACTGGACAAAATGTAAAACAATGAAAGCAACAAGTACTTCATGATTTGCCATCGTATTCGGCAATGTTTCGGGTAGACTGCAGCATTTTGGCCTCCAAACCGAAATGAACGATATAGCGAAACATTTTCATGCTCATGTGAAATGCTTGTCGTAAGAGGCGACTAACGGGATCGGGTGGTCAGGCTCGCTGACTTGGTTGACACATGTCACCGGTCCCCAGTTGCGCAGATCGATGGTCATGCTGTTGATCACTGGATTTTCTGGTCCAGACTCGATTATTTACAGACCGCCGCCATATAGCTGGAATATTGCTGAATGCGGCGTAAAACTAAACTCACTCATTTATTGTAATTCTTATTACAATTTCTCGCGTGCTTTGGACTTGTGGCAGCGACTGATTAAAACATTTTAGTTTAATAAATATTTTATATGACGAGGCGGTACGTTTTAAGTTCGTGTCGGCGGTGTTGGACTGAAAAAAAAAGTTGTTTTGGGCAAACACAGACATGATAAGATAACAGTAACTTCTTTTCTATCATATATGTTCATAGTAATGAAAAGCTACTAAAACACGCATGTACCATGCATAAACTAGCATCTGAAGAACACATTCGGAAACAATTAAACTGTAAGTAAATATTTGCTTGTTAATTTCTTAATGTTTCTACAGCTACGTTCTTTAACCTTCGCCTGGTGACATCGAGGGTTGGAATTCGGTTGGCGACACGCGTTTTACCATACATTGTGCTATTATCATGGGGTACGATGGGGAGAAATCAGGACGCTCCATTATAGCAAAGTGGTGTTTTACTGACAATTTAGTAAATTAGTACAAGGTGAACGTGTTGTCAGATAAGTCCTCAGTGACACTGGATCTTGAAGGACTGATTCTAATCTTCAAACCTTCCTCGTAACAGGAGATGAATGTATGCTCGACACAGAGTGTTGGCAGACAACATCAATCACGACAATGGACTCACGTCATGGTAATACAACGCCGGAGGGAAAATACACCTTGCATTTGACAATGCATGTATTAACGCTATCCCCACGGCACACCAGGAAATATACTTCTCTTCAAAAGTTTAGACTCACTTCAAGCACTCACTATGTGTTATGTATACTGATGGTTAAATCTGAGGCAACACCTGATTGAACATGATGTAAATGAAACCATTCAAATGAATACATTGAATGAATAACAGTGTTCCGTGGCCTGCATGTTCGTCTCTCCAGTTCAGAAAACAATATGCACGCGCATTACATGTTTTGCTCGTGCATGCAGGTAAAATGCATGCATGTACTCTTTTCACAATACTTGTTTCGAGAGTAGTACTGTGCGAGTTGATGATTCAGTAATATATGGCTCGCAACATGTTATCTGAGGCCACAAAATGGCAAATTGTATAATGAGAGAAGGTGGCATGTCCTTGCGGCAGATTACAAGACGCGTTAACGTCTGTCACAGCGTCATCAGCAAGTTGCTGAAAAAAAAAACACACCACAGGACAGGTGAAGTCAAGGTTGCCGCTGGTCGAGGTCGACTCAACAAGACCAAGGATGATAGACGGCTGCTACGAATGGCATGTCAGGAACCATTCTGGTCTTCAAATCAACTCCGTCAATGGTGGCAGCGAACGGCGGGAGTGAATGTGTCACGGGAGCTGCTGGTCTACGAGCTCGTCGTCCATTGAAAAGGTCCAGACTGACCGGTCATCACATGCGCCTTCGTCTGGCTTGAGCCCAGGCACGTCACATTTGGAATTTGCGCGCGTGGCGTCGTATCATTTGGTCTGATGCGTCCAGGTACAACCTGTATGTTGCTGACAGCCGTTCGCGTGTCCGACGTCTTCCCAACACTGCACCCAATCCTCAAAACCTTCTGGAAACGGTAGCTGGTGGCGGCGGATCGGTCATGGTATGGGCAGCTTTCTCCCATGATCAGAAGGTGGACATCAGAGTCATAAAGGGCACGCTGAATGCAGAGAAGTATGGCCGTGACATCATCGAGAACACTCTGCTGCCTTTTCCGCATGCCAATCCACATGTTGCGCACATCTAGCTTGATGACAATGCACGCTCTCGTCCTGCTAGGATCATTACCGACCTTAAGAGGCAGCATAACATTGAATCCCTCGATTGGCCAAGTGTAAGTCCAGGCCCCGATTTCTCTCGAAACAAACTTAAGTCTTAGTTTCGACTTAAGTTAGAGTTTTTACTCAAATTTGAGAAAATGCATTTCCCAAAATGACCAAAAATGATATTAAACTCAAACATAGTAGACGATTTGAGTTTGGTGGATAGATTACTTAAGTTGTTTGGGCTTTTTTATTTAAAACATGCAGTTGAGTTAAAAATTCAGCTGTTTCAAATTGTCCAACTAGTTTGAAATTTGAGTAAAAACTTAAGTTTGTTTCGAGAAATCGGGGCCAGATCTTAATCCGATCGAACACGTTTGGGACGCGATTGGTAGGCATATTTCAGCCAGGAACCAGCCCTTGGCCAACATTCGAGAACTCAGGCAGGCCGTGCTAGACGAATGGAACAATCTGTTCATGCCATTTTTCGTAAATTCGTGCTATCAATGAGGAAACGCTGTCAGGAGGTGATTCAGGCTCATGGCGGATACACGTACTACTGATGACCCAGTTATTGTTTCAAATGTCAATTTCAGTGGATTCCATTTCAAGTAGTTCTAATGTTCCACTAAACATTACAGAGTTGGCAAGATAAAGACATTTTTTTTATCAAAATGTGAATACCTTTTGTTATGTCCTTTTTTGGGTGGATTTACCACTATATTTCTCCAATGAAATAAATTATCTTGATTTCATAAACATACTGTGTTGTGTCGCTGCAGGTACTTTCCAGATAGTGTAGATTGTATTCACATACCATTTTTGAAGGTCACGTTGCATTTTGCGTACCAAACATGCATCTGAAAGCTTTCGTAGCTTCACATTTTAGGTGTTGCTTCAAATTTTACGATCAGTTTATATGTGTATGGTTACATCGAAGATTGATTTCTCCGCTAACTTTGGGGAACCAACTGCAAACTTTATGCAGAAGAATTGCCCGAGGATCATGCATCAAAATGCTGAAAAGCATGTGCAAAGATCGTGCATGTGTTTTGGTGTAAAGGTTTGTTAAGAAGTTGTCAATTTTCACTGATTTTTATCATTTACTGAGCTCATGACAATAATCTTTTCAACGTTACGAATTTGTTTTACTATACATCAGTTCATGTGTAAACAGTACCTTTAAACAGTATTGAATATTTTTCAAAATTTAGTTTAGAACAGTTACCTGAAGTAAGTGGCAATATTTACACTAAAGTACTGTCGGAAATAGAAAAAAACCTCTTTACTGAGGAGAGATTAGTGCAGAAATGAGCAATGTGGGTTTTTTCAAGTCAAAGTCGACTTATTTGGAACAGACCTTGGCATTATGCAAATTAGTGTGCAATGACATTGTATTACAAAGGACACTTTTTTTAAATGCCCATTTTGGAATTAGACTTAGCTTCATTAGAAACGATAGCTGACGTACAAACAAATATATTTGTCGCAGACGATGGTTAGGGTCGGGCTGGGATATAGAGATAATAGCTAAGATAAGATAATCCTTTAGGGGAATTAAACTGGAGAATTAACAATTTACAAATAATATCTAGTCCTGTCGATCTATATATTTGAGACATTTAATACGATGGCTGATTTAAGCCTTTCTGTGGGTATCATACTGTTTTACATATCTCAACATAAACTTTATGAAAAATAGACACGTTAGATGTTAATCAATATTTGAGACATATTCAACACACAAGAAAACGCATAGAATATCTTTGAGATGACCCCTTGTGCCTGTAGGCAGCACGTGCATTTCATGCTCGGTGTGTCGACGGCCCGTCATCATACCTGGCCGAGCGACCTAATTGTCATCTATAGTCTGATCTATTGTTTTAAGCAGCTATTCGTATTTTTTCTAAGTTTTGCCCGAATTTACGAGTAAACATGCTTTTCTTGATATCCTATTACGCATCCCACTGAACGCCCAGTTAGGCCGATGTGGGTTATTTCGACATATGCTATTTGCAATTGTGTAAATTTTAGGGATACAGAGTAACAGCCAAACAACAGGGCTTTTTTTCTATTTCCGACAGTACTTTAGTGAGTCTAAACTTTGGATGAGAAGTATATTAAGATATAACATTAAGGCCGGTACGTGTAACTAAGGCCAACAACCTTGGCACGCTTAATTGCTGTGGAATTCCTTGCTTTCATCATGAGTCCTCACATGCATCACCAGAGGATCATCCGATAAATAAATATGTGCAAAAGAGCCTCCACATAAATCAAACCCCGACCTCCAGAACTGATTAGCTTATATAAACGATGGAACGAGGAAGAGAGGGTGGTGAACTCTGTTATCAGACATGATCCTTCTGGTCAGGCGGTCAAGACTCTGGGATGTCTTGTTTTGTCCAATCAACTACTCCAAAGGAATATGAGAGGACTGGCACAGCAAAAGTATTGGTGGCTTTGACCTTGTTTCGAGCATTAAGTTCTGAGCTCCAGATTTTCTTTAAGTCAGCTTTATAATCGGCCCGAAGTTTGTCTTGAATCTGGGCATTCTGGAGCTTGTCTCGAACTTGCATTCCAAGATAGGTGAAGGCCTGATCTTCCACAAGATGCTCAATAACTCCTCCCCCTTGTAATCTGACCGATTCATCATTAATTACCTTGCCATGTTTCAAATGAAGAATATTACGTTTGTCAAGTCCAAATATCATGGGGATCTGTGCTGAGGAGGTCCGGGATGGTAACCCTCCTCTTTTTTGAGCAGAAAACTCAAAGGATTTAAAGACAAACAAAAAAGCAAAGGACTAGTTATTATTATTATTATTATATGATCATCCCATGGATAGAAAAACAAAGCCTTTGGTAAACTCCATGCATGAAACATTACAATCTTCTTTCCTACAGATACCAAGTTGGCGCACCCCCAGCCGGTGCTGTTGGTGCGGTACCAGGTCAAGGACCACCGCCCCCAGCTCAGGCGTCGAACTACGGGGCGATGAATCCCAACGAGAAGGGCGAGCCTGGCACACTCCCTGGGGGACAGGCAGCTCCCACCCCCTCCGCCCCCTCCCTCAATGAGATGGACAACGTAGGGGGATACGAAGGGGTCGGCTTCTCTGGCAGTAAGTTTTGCATGACATTAGTTCCAAATACAATATTCATCTGACATTTGTTAGCTCAATCTTTTCAGGAGGAAAAGATAGTACTAATGGCGGAACTACTTTCAATCTTGATTAACACTATGGCTAAACTAATGTTTGACTTCTTTTTAAAGGAAGGGTATTAATAAAATATCATATTAAGGGTTTAGCATATTTGGGACCATACTTTCCCGACGAGGTACAGATTCTAGGACGCTAAGGAGTTAAGATGACTGAGCGCGTATGGTCGCTGACTTTGTGTGCTTGCGATTAGGTGAGTGAGGGTTCGAATCCCGGATTGGATTCAATCCCCTAAAAGTTCTAGAATCTGTACTTTACAGATAAAGTGTCATCCCTAATATAACACATGTTACATTTGACCATACTGTAAAACACATTGTGTATTCATAAGTTTAAGGGTTGACTTTGATCAGACTATCATCGTCACAGTGTGCTTTAACATCAAGTTGTGAACCATTAAATGGTTGGTGTCTGTGGTATGTATAGTGATAGTTTAGGGTGTTCACTCTACTGTGACAGAACCAACTTCTCTTATTCCAGGTTGCCTTCCTCCCCCGTCGTATGATGAGTCGGTTCAGCCCCCAGCAGAGAGACCGGAGATCAAGGGGTACGTAATCACCTCGTCAGTGCAGACCAGGGTCGGTGGGGTAGCCTTGTGGTTAAAGCGTTCGCTCATCACGCCGAAGACCCAGGTTCGATTCTCCACATGAGTACAATGTGTGAAGCCCATTTCTGGTGTCCCCGCCCTGATATTGCTGGAATATTGCTAAATGCGGTGTAAAACTAAACTCACTCACTCAGACCAGACCACCTGATAACTCATGGTCCGGTTGTGAGGGCTTATATATGTTTATCTAGGGATATAATAGAAAAGATTTCTTTGGTCCTTAAAAAAGTATACCCAGACCCCCACAAAATTGTTTGGTTCCTTATCATATTCCGAAGTGAACGCTACTTGCCAATAAGGTCCCGTGTGTTCAGTAGCAAATACCACAATGTTTGTGTATGGCTGCAAACGATATGCTTTGTACCCATACCTACTGTGCAGTCTATATCTGTATATTTCCATGTCGTGCTGTACAAGACTAATCTTGGTACAATAGCTGGTGCTCTTTCAGAATGGACGTGGTGAATGGGCGCCTTTCTTTCCGCAGATCACGGGGTGTCGGTGTACATTCAGTGGGAGAGAATGTGGTGGACGAGGACCTGTCGTTTGGTAGATTTCGCTGATGAAATAATTTTCCTTCAGGATGGAAATGGTGAATTAAGACCTGTCGTCGGTAGATCACAGAGGCCGGGGGTATATTCATTGATGATCTAATTCGCCTTCATATCGGATGCAGTGAAAGAAGACCTGTCGTTTGGTAGATCACGGGGGTGTGAAGGGGTGTCTTGGGTATATTCACTGATGACCTGACTCTCCTTCAGGGTGGACGTAGTGAACGAAGACCAGGCCCGCGAGGCACTGCTGATGTATGTGGCGGAGCACTGCTGTTACGGGAAGGGCGCTGCCGAGACGATGAAGTTCACCCAGCTGCAGCCCACCAACGCCTTCCATGTACGACCGTCTTTGTTTCTTGTCGGAGATTGTGTTAATGGTTAGATTGCACAGCAGCACTGTAGCAGTGGTCTGTAAATAATCGAGTCTTGACCACACAAACAGTGATCGATATGGTGTAAGAGACTGATGTCGTTGGTTTACTATGATATGCAGACCCCTAGACTGACCACCCGATCCAACAGGTGGCCTCTTCAGACGAACAGCTGATATTAACCTGAAATGCCCATGCGTTTTTGGTCATGTAAAATCAAGCTCGTTTGCTAACTCAACTTTGACGAAACTGGTGACATACGGACGATTGGGTGGCTAGAATGACGTGTGCCATTTTTATAGTGTCTTCACCCTCGTCTTTCCTGATTGAACGTGTTTCCTGACATAGATCGTCGCTCGTCTGTCACGTGCTTGTTCACGAATACATTTTGGCATTGCTATTGCACAAAATATCACACACCAACTCACTCACTCACTCACTGACTCACTCATTGTTTCCTCTTCCAGTACACCCTTGAGACATTCTGCGAGTCGCGGTCAACTTCTTGGGCCTTCGAGCCTTTTAGTGGTGAGTATTAGGTTATGTTCAGTTCAGAGTTCTCTGATGAGAGTACACAGCAGATTTCAGGCAGGAATTGGGCGATGGAGAGGCAAAGTTGGAAAATCATTCGCTCGTCGCGTTCCCCATATGGGTAACCGCCTGTATGTCCAGTTGCTGGAATAAAGACAGAAGCAGTGTCAGGACAGGTCATATGATTCCTTGTTGTTTCACTGTCTGCTATCTCACCTTCGTTCATCTGTGTCTTGTGTGAGGGTTGTAGTAATACCGATATCAAAGTCACGTTTCTTTGCACAGGTCAGATTCTAGACACCCCGGCAAATGGCCCCGCCCCCGGGGCCTTGGGACATCACCCCCAGCCCCGGCCCCACAATGTTCCAAGACGGCAAGATGGAACTTGAGGTACCACACACAGCATCTGTCAAGGTAGGTAACTGCTGGAGGATGGTACCCCCTGCATCATACGTCAGAGTAGTTCGCTGGGAGAGGATGGTACTCCACAAAGCATCCGTCATGGTAGGTAAGTGCTGGAGGATGGTACCCGACACATCATCTGTCAGGGTAGTCCCCTGGGAGAGGATAGTACCCCACACAGCATCTGTCAGGGTAGTCCCCTGGGAGAGGATAGTACCCCACACAGCATCTGTCAGGGTAGTCCCCTGGGAGAGGATGGTACCCCACACAGCATCTGTCAGGGTAGTCCCCTGGGAGAGGATAGTACCCCACACAGCATCTGTCAGGGTAGTCCCCTGGGAGAGGATAGTACCTCACACAGCATCTGTCAGGGTAGGTAACTGCTGAAGGGTGGTACCCTACACAGCATCAGTCAGGGTAGTTCACTAAGAGAGGATGGTACCCCACACAGCATCTGTCAGGGTAGTCCCCTGGGAGAGGATAGTACCCCACACAGCATCTGTCAGGGTAGGTAACTGCTGGAGGATGGTACCCTACACAGCATCTGTAAGGGTAGTTCACTAGGAGAGGATGGTACCCCACACAGCATCTGTCAGGGTAGTCCCCTGGGAGAGGATAGTACCCCACACAGCATCTGTCAGGGTAGTCCCCTGGGAGAGGATGGTACCCCACACAGCATCTCTCAGGATAGGTAACTGCTGGAGGATGGTACCCTACACAGCATCTGTCAGGGTAGTCCCCTGGGTGAGGATGGTACCCCACACAGCATCTGTCAGGATAGGTAACTGCTGGAGGATGGTACCCTAAACAGCATCTGTCAGGGTAGTCCCCTGGGAGAGGATGGTACCCCACACAGCATCTGTCAGGGTAGTCCCCTGGGAGAGGATGGTACCCTACACAGCATCTGTCAGGGTAGTCCCTGGGAGGATGATGGTACCTCACACAGCATCTGTCAGGGTAGTCCCTGGGAGAGGATGGTACCCCACACAGCATCTGTCAGGGTAGTCCCTGGGAGAGGATGGTACCCCACACAGCATCTGTCAGGGTAGTCCCTGGGAGAGGATAGTACCCCACACAGCATCTGTCAGGGTAGTCCCTGGGAGAGGATGGTACCCCACACAGCATCTGTCAGGGTAGTCCCCTGGGAGAGGATGGTACCCTACACAGCATCTGTCAGGGTAGTCCCCTGGGAGAGGATGGTACCTCACACAGCATCTGTCAGGGTAGTCCCCTGGGAGAGGATGGTACCCCACACAGCATCTGTCAGGGTAGTCCCCTGGGAGAGGATGGTACCCCACACAGCATCTGTCAGGGTAGTCCCCTGGGAGAGGATAGTACCCCACACAGCATCTGTCAGGGTAGTCCCCTGGGAGAGGATGGTACCCCACACAGCATCTGTCAGGGTAGTCCCCTGGGAGAGGATAGTACCCCACACAGCATCTGTCAGGGTAGTTCACTAGGAGAGGATGGTACCCCACACAGCATCTGTCAGGGTAGTCCCCTGGGAGAGGATGTACCCCACACAGCATCTGTCAGGGTAGTCCCCTGGGAGAGGATAGTACCCCACACAGCATCTGTCAGGGTAGGTAGCTGCTGGAGGATGGTACCCTACACAGCATCTGTCAGGGTAGTCCCCTGGGAGAGGATAGTACCCTACACAGCATATGTCAGGGTAGTCCCCTGGGAGAGGATGGTACCCCACACAGCATCTGTCAGGATAGTCCCCTGGGAGAGGATGGTACCCTACACAGCATCTGTCAGGGTAGTCCCCTGGGAGAGGATGGTACCCAACACAGCATCTGTCAGGGTAGTCCCCTGGGAGAGGATGGCACCCTACACAGCATCTGTCAGGGTAGTCCCCTGGGAGAGGATTGTACCCCACACAGCATCTGTCAGGGTAGTAGTCCCTGGGAGAGGATGGTACCCCACACAGCATCTGTCAGGGTAGTCCCCTGGGAGAGGATGGTACCCCACACAGCATCTGTCAGGGTAGTCCCTGGGAGAGGATGGTACCCCACACAGCATCTGTCAGGGTAGTCCCCTGGGAGAGGATGGTACCCCACACAGCATCTGTCAGGGTAGTCCCCTGGGAGAGGATGGTACCCCACACACAGCATCTGTCAGGGTAGTCCCCTGGGAGAGGATGGTACCCTACCCACACAGCAGTCCACTGGGAGAGGATGGCACCCTACACAATATTGGCCCCACACAGCATCTGTCAGGGTAGTCCCCTGGGAGAGGATAGTACCCCACACAGCATCTGTCAGGGTAGTCCCCTGGGAGAGGATAGTACCCTACACAGCATCTGTCAGGGTAGTCCCCTGGGAGAGGATAGTACCCTACACAGCATCTGTCAGGGTAGTCCCCTGGGAGAGGATAGTACCCTACACAGCATCTGTCAGGGTAGTCCCCTGGGAGAGGATAGTACCTCACAAAACATCAGTCAGGGTAGTTCACTGGGTGAGGATGGTACCCCACACAGCATCTGTCAGGATAGGTAACTGCTGGAGGATGGTACCCTACACAGCATATGTCAGGGTAGTTCACTAGGAGAGGATGGTACCTCACAAAGCATCAAGGTAGTTCCCTGGGAGAGGATGGTACCCCACAAAGCATCAAGGTAGTTCACTGGGAGAGGATTGTACCCCACAAAGCATCTGTCAAGGTAGGTAACTGGGGGAGGATGGTACCCCACACAGCATCTGTCAGGGTAGTTCACTGCGGGAGGATGGCACCCCACAAAGCATCTGTCAAGGTAGGTAACTGGGGAGGAGGTTTGCAGGCTTGTGACAACTTGTTCTGTCCTGTTGCAGGCTTGTGACAACTTGTTCTGTGCTCTTGCCGGCTTGTCACAACTTGTTCTGTGTTGTTGCAGGCTTGTCACAACTTGTTCTGTGTTGTTGCAGGCTTGTTACAACTTGTTCTGTGTTGTTGCCGGCTTGTCACAACTTGTTCTGTGTTGTTGCAGGCTTGTCACAACTTGTTCTGTGATGTTGCAGGCTTGTCACAACTTGTTCTGTGTTGTTGCAGGCTTGTCACAACTTGTTCTGTGTTGTTGCAGGCTTGTCACAACTTGTTCTGTGGTGTTGCAGGCTTGTCACAACTTGTTCTGTGTTGTTGCAGGCTTGTCACAACTTGTTCTGTGTTGTTGCCGGCTTGTCACAACTTGTTCTGTGTTGTTGCCGGCTTGTCACAACTTGTTCTGTGTTGTTGCAGGCTTGTCACAACTTGTTCTGTGCTCTTGCCGGCTTGTCACAACTTGTTCTGTGCTCTTGCCGGCTTGTCACAACTTGTTCTGTGCTCTTGCCGGCTTGTCACAACTTGTTCTGTCTTTTTGCAGGCTTGTCACAACTTGTTCTGTCTTTTTGCAGGCTTGTCACAACTTGTTCTGTGTTGTTGCAGGCTTGTCACAACTTGTTCTGTGTTGTTGCAGGCTTGTCACAACTTGTTCTGTGTTGTTGCAGGCTTGTCACAACTTGTTCTGTCTTGTTGCCGGCTTGTCACAACTTGTTCTGTGATGTTGCCGGCTTGTCACAACTTGTTCTGTGTTGTTGCAGGCTTGTCTGTGATGTTGCAGGCTTGTCACAACTTGTTCTGTGTTGTTGCCGGCTTGTCACAACTTGTTCTGTGCTGTTGCAGGCTTGTCACAACTTGTTCTGTGTTGTTGCAGGCTTGTCACAACTTGTTCTGTGTTGTTGCCGGCTTGTCACAACTTGTTCTGTCCTGTTGCAGGCTTGTCACAACTTGTTCTGTCTTGTTGCAGGCTTGTCACAACTGCTGTGCCTCCGGATGGATCCAGTGTAACAAGTGCTTCGGTTTAGGGAGGGTAGGTTGTTAGTCTCTCATTCACACCCCGTAATACATCCACCATATTCCATGTAAGTGTAGTCTAGATTTATTGAATGAATGAAGATTTATAATTTCTTTTCTGTCAAATATTAATAGGTAATATATTAAAACAATATATATAGTCTAAACTTTGTTAGATAGGGTACTTTGCCAGACAAAATGCTATCCCTTTGCCCCAGTCATCTACAGCTTGTCCCGTCCGGCTGGATGTGCCCAGTGTTAATGGGTGACAAGGAACCTTCAAGCACAGATAAGTCCGGACTGGAGTTTATACATACCGCCGTGATCTATCTGTGATAGAGCTGATTGCATCACACACACCGCTCATTAATGTCTGTCCAACTCGACTACCCAAACAGAGAAAAATGTAGTAAATTTCCGCGTAGTTGTTTTCTTCTTGAACTGAAATACATTTTCCCATGTTTTATGTCGTTGTTGAACTGCTGTAAATGTCAGTGATTGTCATTATTTATACGTAGGAAATGGCTCTGTGGTCAATGTCGTTATCAAACTGTAGTAAATGGCTCCATGGTTGATATCGTTATTTAAGTGTGTAGTAAGTTTCTCCGTTGTCAATGTCGTTATCTGTCTCTAGTAAGTGTCTCCGTTCTCGATGTCATTATTAAACTGTTGTAAATGGTTCCGTGGTTGATGTCGCTATTAAACTGTAGTAAATGGCTCTATTGTCGATGTCAATATTTTTCTGTAGTAAATGTCTCCATGGTCGATGTCATTATTAAACTGTAGTACATGTCTCAGTGGTCGAAGTCATTATAAAACTGTAGTAAATGTCTTTGTGGTCGATGTCGTTATGAAACTGTAGAAGATGTCTCAGTGGTCGATGTTATAAACTGTAGTACATGTCTCAGTGGTCGATGTCGTTATTTAACTGTAGTAAATGTCCGTGGTTGATGTCGTTACAAAAACTGTAGTAACTGTCTCCGTGGTCGATATGCCATTATACATCTGTAGGAAATGTCTCTGTTGTCGATGTCATTATAAAACTGTATTTAATGTCTCTGTGGTCGATGCCGTTATGAAACTGTAGTAAATGTCTCCGTGTCGATGTCGTTATTTAACTGTAGGGAATGTCTCCGTGGTCGATGTTGTTATAAAACTGTAGAAATGTCTTCGTGGTCGATGTCGTTATAAAACTGTAGTAAATTGGTCCGTGGTCGTTAAAAAACTGTAGGGAATGTCTCCGTGGTCGATGTCGTTATAAAACTGCAGTAAATGTCTCCATAGTCGATGTTGTTATGAAACTGTAGTAAATGTCTTCGTGGTCGATGTCGTTATAAAACTAGTAAATGGGTCCGTGGTCGTTAAAAAACTGTAGGGAATGTCTCCGTGGTCGATGTCGTTATAAAATTGTAGTAAATGTCTCTGTAGTCGATGTCGTTATGAAACTGTAGTAAATGTCTTCGTGGTCGATGTCGTTACAGGAACAATGCACGTTTTGTAATGGTCGTGGGTGTTCGAGGCAGTACATCGACGGCGACTGGGTTGACCGCAGCTGCACCAGCTGCAACGGAAGAGGGATGAGGACGTGAGTGATGAGTGGCGTGGGACCCTTTTGATGTTTTTCTCTATTTTTTGTGTTTTTCTTTCTTAGAGTGTGTGGAATGATCACATAAGGTGTTATAAGATTGATAAACGTACAGTACAGGAGTTATTACCACTCCGAAGAGGATTGTGCAAAAGGAACCGACATTTGAACCAATTTGTGTTACAGAAAAAACAACTCCTTTCTAAATTAACCTAAATTTGAACCGATTATTTGCGCAATGAATATGTAAATCCCTTGTCCTTCAGATGTCACCGTTGCCATGGTTGCGGACGCGTCACGTGCCCGTTGTGTGACGGCAAAACCCGACTGAAGTGCTACATCAAGCTGACTATATTATGGTAGGCACCGATTATCAATACCTATGGTTGTCGGAGAGATTTCCAAGTGAAATCCCGTATGACATTATGTATTTGTCGGACGTGTCGCGATGTATCGATCTACTGCAATAGTGGTAAAAGTGGCCTTGTATCATAGTCACTCACTCAGTCACGAATATGTAAGGTGGAAGGCTGTTTCGATGTCACCATTATGGCAAAGCTGTATTTCTTCATATTTTGTCCAGGGCTTGTCATTCATACTACCTACTCACTAACTAGCCCACTCATTCAGTCACTGACCCAACCAACCAATCTTCCACCAACTCACCTTCTGACCACTTGTAGGGTGAACCACGTCAATGACCACATCGTGGAGAGGACGGAGCTTCCTGACCACCTGATCCGTGAGGTGACAGGTCACCAGGCCTTCCAGGAGACAGCCCCCAGGGTAAGCAGTTGTACTCACATGGGTGACTAACAATTTGTGATAGATGTGTGGGTGGGGTGAGCGTTGGGGGTAGTTAGTTTCTGAAATAACTGTTTTGTTTCAAAAGCTATCCTGTACTATATTGTTTGTTTTATTAAATACAGCTGTTTTGCTGGACCATTTGGAATCCTTCGGAAAAGTAGTTCACCTTCTCATTTAAAAATAGAAATTGAAAAATTACCCAGTTCGCTAGACGATGAAATGTTACATCTTCTACAAGGTCTGTGTGATACCATATCGCATTCAATATATTCGATGACCAATAGTTTTCAGTTTGTTGAACTCACCAGACCAACATAGTTTATATAGATAGTTAAACGTGTTAATACATACACACAAAACTTTACGTATTAAGTGCCACAGCTAAAATGAGATGCACGAACAAGCATTAACTGAAAAACGATAACATGTATATTCTTTCAATTTTTTATACATTTCAAGGTGTTTCCAGTGAATCACTTTCCGGATCAGGAAATCAACAACGCTTCCAAGACTATCGTGGGGTCTCACGCAGGGGCCTTCCCAACAGAGCGTATGCTGATGCAGGTACAGTCAAACCAGTAGCCGAGAATTATAGGAATTTGGGGAAAACGGGCGCATCCTTGGGAGCAAATGCTGTCTTTAACACAGGAATTAACAGGAATCCAGAAGTAGTGAGTGATTGAGTTTAGTTTGATGCCGCTTTTAGCAATATTCCAGCAATATCACGGCGGGGCACACCAGGAATGCGCTTCACACATTGTACCCATGCAGGGAATCGAACCCTGGTCTTTGGCGTGACGAGCGAACGCTTTAACCACTAGGCTACCCCACCGCCCCGAATCCAAAAGTAAACAAAGTGCACAATCCAACAGCAAACCAATAACCTATGCTTGCCGTGCAACATACCGTCCCTATTTAACCAAACATTGATGTTTTAAAGGAGTTCTTGTATACTGTGATACAATGGGTTAGCCTACTGGGTCAAGTGTTCACTTTCTGTGGTTGAAGTCTGATTTGTGTGATAGTGGTGTGGATGGTACAGTACTAACAAGCAACGTAAAATCAATCTTACCCAGTCGGCCATCTGATTGAATACCGGGTAGACCAGGTTATTATCTATGCATTGTCTCATTAAGTGAGTGAGTTGGGTTTGATGCCGCTTTGAACAATATTTTTGCAGTCCTCAGCCCGGGTCGGCTTAATGTGTGACGAAAAACAAAAGTAGCCCAGTAGAGGTTTACAAATTTGGTGAAACGAAACAGCACGGTGTTGGTGGCAGACCTGGGATCGTAATCAGTGAATGTAATACATCCTAATATGGCTAAGGGAGGTTCCTATTCTCTGTATTTGTGCAGCAATGTTAGATGCTCAAACAACTCGTTTGCTCTGGTCACTGACATCCACACCCATGAAGATCCGGGTTCGAATTTATTTTCAGTATTACATGCTTGTCGTACGAGGCGACTAACAGGTTCGGATGGTCAGTCTCGCTGACTTGGTTGACACATGTCATCGTATCCCAATTGCATAGATCGATGCTCATGCTGTTGATCACTGGATTGTCTGGTCCAGACTCGATTATTTACAGACTGCGGGAATATTGCGGCATAAAACTAAACTCACTCACTGACATCCACTGTATGTTCTATGGTTCCCACAAAAGTTCCGTTAACAGAACGCCTTGCGGTGCGTTCCTCGGCATCCCAGATTAAACCCAGTCAGGATCACTGGTTTCTCAGCTCCAAGCCATGCTCGTGTTCTTCAGCTGGTTCGTTTCTGACTTTGTTTCCATACCTTAAAGTCATGTCAATGGAACTGAATGCGTCTGAGTCAGTATAAACTTTCCAGATGTTTTCACCGATGGTTGTGTTTGCAGCGCCACCAAGTACGGATTGTGCCCGTCACCCAGGCCTTCTTCCACTGGAAGGAGTCGGATGCGGACTTCTTCATCTATGGCTTTGAGAACAAGGTTTACGCCCCTAAATACCCACAGACCTGCTGTTGGGGCTGCAACATCCTCTAGAGATACAGATCAAACTATCAACCCCTGGAGAAGTCCGGGACCAACAAGCTCCAGAGATACACCAGACCAACATTCCCCAGAGACACATCAGACTATCATCCTCGTGACACACCAGACCAACATCCTCGAGACACATCAGACCAACATCCTCCAGAGACAACAGACCAACATCCTCTAGAGCAACTCCAGACCATCATCCTCTAGGGCCCCTCCAGACCAACATCCTCCAGAGATACACCAGACCATCATCCTCTGGAGCCACACCAGACCAACATCCTTAAGAGACCTGCCAGATCAACACGCCCCTGAGGTTCAGCAAACCAACATCCTGGAGATACTCACACCCCAGAGATTCGCCAGTCCAAAATCCCTTAGAGACACGCCATACCAATATCATCCAGCTTAACACATACACATCTGCGCTTGAAGAAACATCTGGAAAACCACATTTTTAACAAACACTTTGAAGCCATCTACCGTTCTATACTGTGAGCATCATGAACTAATTCCTACATCTATAGAAGACATCTTGGAATGTTCGAGTCACCTTGTCTGTTAAACAGTTCGTGTCATCAGTATGAAGTATGTGTTAGCGACGACGACAAAAACATTCTATCCCTTGGGCCCGTTCCACAAAGCGATCTTAGCGTTACACCTCTCGCCTATCAGTGTATAAGTATGAGTTACTGAGCAATATGTAAGACTGTACGTTAGACGATGAGACAAAAGAGTCGACAATACGTTTTCAATAGGATCAAAATGCTTCGGTGTCGTGAGACAATTCGCTAATGTTGCTTTGGTTTCTTTGTCACAATGCTAACTCCCTGTTATGTAGTGTTACAAGTTGTAGGCGAGCCTCTCGCCAATGAGGTTCCAAGCAATGAAAATTAACCCGACCAAATGGCGCTAAGATAATCCTAATAAATCAAACGTTAACAGTGTGCGGAATAGCCACTGGACAAATCCAGTCGGGCCACAGTCACTGGTCCGACTGGCTGGTGGATTATCATGGGGTCATTTTGTAAATATATCACTCTCCCCGACGTTATAATACACTTTTAAATCATGCAAGATCATGGCCTGATGAAAAATGTCAGCAGCTTAATGACGAAACCCGTCATGTCGACAATATCTTATTCTCATCCATTTTTGTAATACTTTTCTTAGTTTCTACATTCAGATTTCGGGCTCGTGAATTATTTTGTGGGCTAGTAACTTTAAGGCATAACTAGCCAGACCGGCTAGCAAAATTAGGACTGACTGACTGACTGAGTTTGGTTTTACGCCGCTTTTAGCAATATTCCAGCAACATCACGGCGGGGGACACCAGAAATGGGCTTCACACATTTTACCCATGTAGGGATTCGAACCCGGGTCTTCGGCGTGACGAGCCAACGCTTTAACCACTAGGCTACCCCACCGCCCCCAGCAAAATTGGGAAACTATTTCACACACTGAGCGTTAAGACTGTAGTAACGGGGCCCAGGTTCTTTTGCGTCTAAGCAGCATTTAATGAGAAAGCTTTACCTGATCCTTTGTGATAGCTATATGTCTAGCATAGGCTTTTATTTGTACAGTACACTCTTGTATAACTCGCGAACTGACCTTTAAGGGGGCTTCTAATCCTTTCATTTATCCAGTTATTACCGACATTTCCAACCAAAGTTGAATCTAACTGTCGGTGACAATGTGCCATTAATTAGTCAGCCGTTCCGCAAAATGTGCTTCTTGTAAGGAAATTGTCTAACGTCAAATTCTGTCTACATTAACTCATTGCATCAATGTTGCTGCGTGTATATACTATACCGCCATTTGGCCAAAAAATACACAATGTATGCAAGAACGTACTTATGTCGGTGCATAATCGTAAGAAATATCCCCTACCATTTTAATGGCATATATAACGAGATATTTTTATATGTATATCAATGTGATCAATAAAACGCTTGTCTTTCCAGTTGTACTAATATGAGACGCAACACATGCCCTAGTGCTTCTGAAACCAGATAGATTTTATCACAACCCTAAACTAATGAGGGAAATCAATGGGAAATGTTTGTCTGCAAATGTATATCACAAGTAAAGACAATAATCCAACGTGAGATAACGTGAGATACTAACGTGAAAAGACGAGATTCCTGAGCAAGAAAGGGAGCATCTCAAAACATCGATTGACATTGTCAAGAGGCGACCAAAGGGATCGGATGGTCAGGGTCGCTGACTTTGTTGACACATATCATCGTATCCTAGTTGGTCAGATCGACGATTAATACTGGATTTTCTGGTCCAGATTCGATTATTTACAGACCGCTGCCATGTAGCTAGAATGTTGCTGAAAACAGCGTTAAACCCCGATCACGTAAGTCGCATGGGTTACTGAAGTTTTCTAACATCATATTAAAGCAGTCTCCATCGTGACAGAATCGTTGTTTAGCATAATAGAATGGACATAAAACACTGGATAAGTGAGGGTGATGGTTGGAGCAATCCGAAGTTACACATACGATTATTTTATACAAGGCACATGATCTTAAGACTTCTGATGCAGTTCTTGCATATTTTGTTTTAACCAAGCCTTTATTACAGATTCAGGCGTGTACGCCATGCCGCTATTGCCTCGGTTTGGTGACAATACCCGTTAGTTATACAGTCTGCTCAAGAAACTTTGTCACCCGGCGTCCCAACGAGTGAGTGAGTGAGTGCAGTGTTGAACAGTTTTCAGTGACAGGAAATGGTTGTTATGCGTTGGCTCCCGCGTCCGCCATTTTAAGTATAACCCTGGACCCGACCGGAGCCTGTGCCCCTGGACTCTCTTGCATTTGGAAGCTCTGTCTCTGACAAAGATCGCTGACTATTACTCACTCAAGCTTATCGAGCATAAAAGAGATAAATACATTCAATGAAACCATGTTTATTTACTAGTATATAATTTATGACGATGCTCCTCTAAACCCATTTATGCATATTGTCCCTTTTTGGGGGACGGGTACTTATCTCTCTGATTGTTCAAGATAGAGACTTGCATATCGAAGTGAATGAAGCTGAGTAAATTGTTTAGTAGTTGAACCATTCACATTACTTGTAGAGTCCCGTCCCTTTAAGCATGGCGACCCCTAGTGGCAAGGCCGCTCCCCCTGCCAATTCGGCGAAGTGTCAGGTCAGATGATTTTTCTCTTGGTTCCAATGTTAACTAAGTAAGTTCATTAGAATGTCACTTTTGTGTTTAAATATTTCGTTATTCAAATAGAAAAATATACTGAAAATAGTTTGCATTTTTTCCATGCTCAATTTTTCGCCAAAATTCCGTCCCAAAATGGGACAATATGCAGATTAGTGTACTTATTTTAGGTAATTGGTTAATATCTGTATGATCAACTTCCCAAACCAAGTATCAACATGGGCGATCCCGCTTTGGGGGAGTGACCAAACTAACAATAAAGGTAACATCCTTGAGAAATGTATTTCAGAATATAGCCTCTGTAAATTTAACGATGAATCAGACACTTATCTACATTCAGCTACTGGAACTCACCGATTATCTACATTCAGCTACTGGAACTCCCCGATTCAACCTTGTATAATGAATTTGGATGGCTGGGCCATGATTACCTATGTGGGAGTGATCACTTCCCCACCATTCTTAAAACTCCCAAAGCTCTTGAACCATCCCAACCCCACCCATCAATGAACTTCCAAGGCTGACTGGTCATTATATAAGACTCTATGTATTGAACACCTGAAACATGACCTGTTCATCAATAGTGAGGCTCCTGTACAGCCATTTTCGGATATACTGAACAATACTGCTGCCAAAACAATTCCACAGCCCACTGTAACTCCACATATACGTAAATCATGGTTCAATAATGAATGCAATTAGGCTTGGAAGTGTAGGAAGAAAGCCGTAAAGGTTTTTTTGACGACATCCTACCGTGCATAATTTGAATAAAGTTAAAATCTTAAATGCCAAGGCTAGACGCGCATTTAAACAGAACAAGCGTCAGTCTTGTTGAAGGATTTCAAAGGTGTGGAACATGGTACAGAAAATAAAGGGCAAACGTTCAAAATCTACCGTTCACCATTTGAAGGACGGTGATAATGTATTAACTGAAAGAACTGACGTTGCCAACAAACTTGGTGACACTCTCGCCAAACATTCGTCTTCATCCAATTATTCGTATGTCCCTGAGTTTCAGAAACATCAGAACAACAGGTAGTTCACAACTTCTAAAACGTCTGTGATGTACTCTGAGTAAACATTACTATCTAATCAAGCGAACTAAATCCATCATTATACTTTCGTCATTTAATACTTACTATGACATACCAAGAAATACTTGCCCAAGGCTCTTCATTTTCTCCACGAAAGATGCATACACTGGTGCTGCCATCTCATCACGCGTGTGAATGCTCCTACCCATCTGTGCATATCGTCCCATTTTTATGATGCACTTTTGCAGAGTAAAGAAAGTAGGGAAAAATTAATCTACAGGTAAAATGACACGTCACTTCTTTCATTGCTTGCCAAAAGAAACTTACTCACAAAATTTGATGAAAATCTAAGACCCAAAGGCGATGTACCTCTTAATGACAATGATCCAGAACATGCCTGACCTTGATAAATGGACTACATCAGTATATTGCAGACATGGCCATGCTAAAGGTGTTTGCTGCAAATGAAATACATTATTAAATCAGAAATGACTTTGGGTTCGAGATTGACAAGTCCCGTTTTCTGTACAACACCGTCCCCTTCTCCAAGCAACATTGCCTTCAGATCGACCACCCCACCCCTGCACATGATTGGATTCATACTAGCTGGATCACCTTTAGACAGACATGCCACCTTGTGTACATACTTCCCATTATACTAGCAGGATCACCTTTAGACAGACATGCCTCCTCGTGTACATAATTCCCATTATATTAGCAGGATCACCTGTAGACAGACATGCTTCCTCGTGTACATAATTCCCATTATACAAGTAGAATCACCTTTAGACAGACATGTCTCCTCGTGTACATAATTCCCATTATACTAGCAGGATCACCTGTAGACAGACATGCCCCCTTGTGTACATAATTCCCATGATACTAGCAGAATCACCTGCGGACAGAAATGCCTCCTTCTGTACATAATGCCCATTATACTAGCAGGATCACCTGTAGACAGACATGCTTCCTCGTGTACATAATTTCCATTATACTAGCAGGATCACCTGTAGACAGACATGCCCCCTTGTGTACATAATTCCCATGATACTAGCAGAATCACCTGCGGACAGAAATGCCTCCTTGTGTACATAATGCCCATTATACAAGCAGAATCACCTGTTGAGAGACATGCCTCCTTCTGTACATAATTCCCATTATACTAGCAGAATCACCTGTTGACAGACATGCCCCCTTCTGTACATAATTCACATGATACTAGCAGAATCACCTGCGGACAGAAATGCCTCCTTGTGTACATAATTCCCATTATACTAGCAGAAACACCTGTAGACACACAAGCCCCCTTGTGCACATAATTCCCATTATACAAGCAGGATCACCGGTTGACAGACATGCCTCCTAGTGTACATAATTTCCATTATACAAGCAGAATCACCTGTAGATGGACATGCCTCCTTGTGTACATAATTCCCATGGTCCTAGCAGAATCACCTGTAGACAGAAATGCCTCCTTTTGCTCAGTATTCCCACTATACTAGCAGAATCACCTGTTGACAGACATGCCCCCTTGTGCACATAATTCCCATTATACCAGCAACCCTGTAGACATTGCCCCTAGAGAATCACCTGTAGACACACAAGCCCCCTTGTGGACATAACTCCTATTAAACTAGCAGAATCATCTGTAGACAGACATGCCTCCTTGTGTACATAATTCCCATTATACTAGCAGGATCACCTGTAGACAGACATGCCTCCTTGTGTACATAATTCCCACTATACTAGCAGAATCACCTGTTGACAGATATGCCCCCTTATGCACATAATTCCCATTATTCAAGCAGAATCACCTGTACACACACGAGTCCCCTTGTGGACATAATTCCCATTATACTAGCAGAATCATCTTTAGACAGACATGCCTCCTTGTGTACATAATTCCCATTATACTAGCAGGATCACCTGTAGACAGACATGCTTCCTTGTGTACATAATTCCCATTATACTAGCAGGATCACCTGTAGACAGACATGCCTCCTTGTGTACATAATTCCCATTATACTAGCAGGATCACCTGTAGACAGACATGCTTCCTTGTGTACATACTTCCCATTATACTAGAGAGGATCACCTTTAGACAGACATGCTTCCTTGTGTACATAATTCCCATTATACTAGCAGAATCATCTGTAGACAGAAATCCCTCCTTGTGTACATAATTTCCATTATACTAGCAGGATCACCTGTAGACAGACATGCTTCCTTGTGTACATAATTCCCATTATACTAGCAGAATCACCTGTAGACAGACATGCCTCCTTGTGTACATAATTCCCATGATATTAGCAGAGTCACCGGTGGACAGACATGCCTCCTTGTGCACATAATTCCCATTATACCAGCAGAATCACCTGTTGATAGACATGCCCCCTTCTGTACATAATTCCCATTATACCAGCAGAATCACCTGTTGATAGACATGCCCCCTTATGCACATAATTCCCATGATACTAGCAGAATTACCTGCGGACAGAAATGCCCCCTTGTGTACATAATTCCCATTGTACCAGCAGAATCACCTGTAGACACGCAAGCTTCCTTATGAACATAATTCCCAATAGACTACCAGAATCATCTGTAGACAGACATGCCTCCTTGTGCACATAATTCCCATCATACTAGCAGAATCATCTGCAGACAGACATGCTTCCTTGTGTACATAATTCCCATTATACTAGCTGGATCACCTGTAGACAGACATGCTTCCTTGTGTACATAATTCCCATTATACTAGCAGATTCGCCTGTAGACATTGTGTACATAATTCCCACTATACTAGCAGAATCAAATATTCACAGACATGCCTACTTGTGCACTTAATTCCCATTATACTAGCAGAAAAACCTGTAGACACACAAGCCCCCTTGTGCACATAATTCCCATTATACAAGCAGGATCACCGGTTGACAGACATGCCTCCTAGTGTACATAATTCCCATTATACAAGCAGAATCACCTGTAGATGGACATGCCTCCTTGTGTACATAATTCCCATGGTCCTAGCAGAACCACCTGTAGACAGAAATGCCTCCTTTTGCTCAGTATTCCCACTATACTAGCAGAATCACCTGTTGACAGACATGCCTCCTTGTGTACATAATTCCCACTATACTAGCAGAATCACCTGTTGACAGACATGCCCCTTGTGTACATAATTCCCATTATACTAACAGAATCACCTGTTGACAGACATGCCTCCTTATGCACATAATTCCCATTATACCAGCAGAATCACCTGTAGACACACAAGCCCCCTTGTGGACATACTTCCCACTATATTATCAGAATCATCTGTAGACAGACATGCCTCCTTGTGTACATAATTCCCATTATACTAGCAGAATCATCTGTAGACATTGAGTACATAATTCCCATTATACTAGCAGAATCACCTGTTGACAGACATGCCCCTTGTGTACATAATTCCCATTATACTAACAGAGTCACCGGTGGACAGACATGCCTCCTTGAGCACATATTTCCCATTATACCAGCAGAATCACCTGTTGATAGACATGCCCCCTTATGCACATAATTCCCATTATACTAGGAGAATCAACTGTAGACAGACATGCCCCCTTGTGTACATAATTCCCATGATAGTAGCAGAGTCACCTGTAGGCAGACATGCCTCCTTGTGTACATAATTCCCATTATACCAGCAGATTCACCTGTTGATAGACATGCCCCCTTGTGTACATAATTCCCATTATACTAGCAGAATCACCTGTAGACAGACATGCCCCCTTGTGTACATAATTCCCATTATACTAGCAGAATCATCTGTTGACAGACATGCCCCTTGTGTACATAATTCCCATTATACTAGCAGAATCACCTGTAGACATGCCCCTTATGCACATAATTCCCATTATACCAGCATTATACCAGCATAACCCCCTGTTGATAGACATGCCCCCTTGTGTACATAATTCCCATTATACTAGCAGAGTCATCTGTAGACGGACATGCCCCCTTATGCACATAATTCCCATTATACTAGCAGAATCACCTGTGGATAGACATGCCTCCTTGTGCACATAATTCCCATTATACTAGCAGAATCCCCTGTTGATAGACATGCCCCCTTGTGTACATAATTCCCATTATACTAGCAGAATCATCTGTAGACGGACATGCCCCCTTATGCACATAATTCCCATTATACTAGCAGAATCACCTGTAGATAGACATTCCCCCTTGTGTACATAATTCCTATCATACTAGCAGGATCACCGGTAGACAGACATGCCTCCTTGTGTACATAATTCCCATTATACTAGCAGAATCATCTGTAGACGGACATGCCTCCTTGTGCACATAATTCCCATTATACTAGCAGAATCACCTGTAGACAGACATTCCCCCTTGTGTACATAATTCCTATCATACTAACAGGATCACCTGTAGACAGACATGCCTCCTTGTGTACATAATTCCCATTATACTAGCAGAATCACCTGTAGACAGACATGCCTCCTTGTGTACATAATTCCCATTATACTAGCAGGATCACCTGTAGACAGACATGCCTCCTTGTGTACATAATTCCCATTATACTAGCAGGATCACCTGTAGACAGACATGCCTCCTCGTGTACATAATTCCCATTATACTAGCTGAATCACCTGTAGACACACAAAGCTCCTTGTGCACATAATTCCCATTATACTAGCTGAATCACCTGTAGACACACAAGGCTCCTTGTGCACATTATTCCCATTATACTAGCAGAATCACCTGTAGACAGACATGCCTCCTAGTGTACATAATTCCCATCATACTAGCAGGATCACCTGTAGACAGACATGCCTCCTCGTGTACATAATTCCCATTATACTAGCTGAATCACCTGTAGACACACAAGGCTCCTTGTGCACATAATTCCCATGATACTAGCTGAATCACATGTAGACACACATAGCTCCTTGTGCACATAATTCCCATTATACTAGCAGAATCACCTGTTGACAGACATGCCTCCTAGTGTACATAATTCCCATCATACTAGCAGGATCACCTGTAGACAGACATGCCTCCTCGTGTACATAATTCCCATTATACTAGCAGAATCACCTGTAGACAGACATGCCTCCTTGTGCACATAATTCCCATGATACTAGCTGAATCACCTGTAGACACACAAGGCTCCTTGTGCACATAATTCCCATTATGCTAGCAGAATCACCTGCAATTTATATTAGTACTTCATCTGATGCAAACAGCATCACTGACACCTCACAGTTCAGTACATAAAGAGATTATTTCTCGAACAAGTGTGTCACGACTTACACGAATCGTGTGTGAAATAGTATTATACATGTTATACACAATTTTTACACGAGTTTCGTATAAGTCGTGTGGCACACTTGCGAGTGTAATAATTTCTTTATTATCCACTTTATTCATGTACATTTGTGAGGTAAAACACGATAAGTGTGACTGCCCTGTTCATTGACGTCACGGACAACGAAAATACAGAAACAATGGTTGCTAGGCAAAAGTGATATGTGCACATATGATATATATGACTCTGGTTATGTTTCACCATATGGATAATAACTCTCCTTATGACATCATCATCATCTGTAGATCGACATCCCCTTCGTGTACTTCTTATGCTCCAAAAGGCGCACTTAATCCCGATGCAATACAAACATCCCTTCTGTTTTATATCGTGCGGGTGGCTTCTTCCTCCCGTTATAGTATTGTCCATTGGGAAACCCTATCAGTTTGGTGTTAGATGCAAGTGCTAGAAGGCCGGTAGCATAAGTGTCATCAATCCATATTGACTTGATGTAAGTTGAAGCCGAGTGTAGTCTCTTGATAACTGACAGTGTTGTTATGTATGCAAATCCAGAACAATATCGGGGGTACCTGATGAAGGGGTATTCCCGTTCAGAAATGGCCCACTTTCCGGCTGTTCTTTTCCTGCTCCCCGGCCAAACAAAGCACATAATATACTCCTCGGGGATAGGGTTCAGCAACAGGTACCTCAACACGTTGTCAACGTGGACAACCACATCATCGTCAATTTTGATAAAATAGCGCACAGTTTTACAATGAGTGATAACCCAGTGGTAACCCATGATGTGCTTGTGGGTCAGGTTGTGGTAAGAATCTATGAAATTCCCTTGTACAATGTCTTGATATTTCTGCGATTCCCTTTTAACTTCTGCCTGTAATGATGCGTTGTTAGTTTCTCCCACCAGAAAAACAACAGTCAATAATGGTTGGCGCTTAGAGTCACTGCCACTTGTGTCTTTCCTAATTTTTTGTCGTTTCTGTGCATTATACATAGCAGTATGCACTATCACCACTATGGGGGCCCTACCCTTACAGTTGTCGGCGTTCATTGAGAATTTGAACATATGTAAATTATCCCAAACATCCTCTTTATTGTTTGAAATGTGGAGAAATTCCAGTATGGGGGAAGACGCCGCGTGGACTCTTTTAGAAGCTCTCGTAATATCAGCCTTGTGCTTATGGATAGTCTTTGGCGTGCTTGACGGAATGGTTAACTGACTTGATGCGTTTCCAGTCTTTGTTGTGCTTGCCGTGATCGCCATTGTCTTACCGTCCTTGGCAACAGAAACGTATTCTCTGCACAGCAAACAGACCCCAGCAACACACAGCAGTGTCAACATGCACCGCAATGATATACTTCTGAGCCTCCTCAACCGGATCATGCTAGCCATCCTAGAACAGATTAATCAATATTCAATAACACCTTTGTAACATTCGACAACTGATTTCATATTGAGTATTATAGATCTTTAACACTGGAACCACCGATACTAAATGGTGTAGCTTTAATGGCCATGTAAGGTTGCATTTCTGTGGATGGTCAGTGGATGTAACGCAATAGCGAGTGGGTAATACCCATTACTATGATAGGGGTGGTAGAACTGGCCATTATAATTATTGAAGGCGATATGAGGTGTAGGCGATATGAGGTGTAGGCGATATGACGTGTAGGCGATATGAGGGCTAGCCAGTAAGAGAGTATGATCTTACGTCACTTTTAAAAACAACATACCTAAAAGAAAAGAGAACGCAGAAGGAAAAGGACATTTCTATTTCTGAATACTTCCGACCTATTTAGATACAAAAAGCAAAGGAATAAAGTCTGAAAAGAATAGCCAAGGTAAACTTTTATTCTAAAATATTGATCTTTAATTTTTTGTTGAAAGGTACTACTTATCGGGACCCATTCCCCCTCTGCAAATGATGATTCTGGGATACCTTCAGTTTCTACAGATTTGGATAAAGCTCAAACATTAAATGAATATTTTGTATATGTTTAAAATGTGAATGATGGCGGCAAGACTTTGCCACCTGTTAGCCATCACTGTGTTAACATTGTAACCGAAAAGGAGGTATCTGATATGATTAAGACCTTACCAGCAAACAAATCTAGTTGACTGATGGCATTAACATGAGAGTGTTAAAACGAATTTGTACATCTAAGCTGAACCTCTTTGTTGAATAATAGATCACTGTGTGACTGTATTTCCGACAATGTGGAAAACGGGTAATGTTACTCCTATTTTGAAAGAAGGAGATACATCCCTCCCAACTAATTACAGACCTATTAGTTTGCTATCTATCCTGGGGAAAATTCTTGAAAGAATAACGGTAAAGCATGTGCACAACCATTTCCATGAATATAGCATTTAAAGTAAATTCCAGTCAGGTTTTATTGCCAGTCATTCTACTACATCTCAACTCATAGAAATTTATCATAATATATGCTCAGTCCTAGATAATCGCCACCTTTACAGTATGGTATTTTGTGACATTTCAAAAGGGCTTGGCATAAAGGTTTATTGCACAAATTAGAAAATTATGGTGTTCGTGGAAACGTACTTAGTTGGTTAACTAACTATCTATCTGATAGACGACAGTGTGTCTCTGTTAATGGAGCATTATAAAAAAAACTAAATGTTCCTGAAGGGGTTCTAACGGTTATATCTAATATACTTAAAGACATAGAAGGGGTGGTGGTGGTTCTAGCGGGTATATCTCAAATACATGTAGAGGGGCTATGTCTAACGGGTATATCTAACATACAACAATATAATCTATCATGTATTTATGACCCACATTTTCGAACCTTTTATCAGCCCCTAAAAAAGCTGGCGATAGATTAATTTGGTTGTCATTTATCAAACAAGTAGTGAAGTTGTGCATTTTTACTATAGATTCTAAAATCTATGGATACTATTAGGACGTTGGTAACTTTTATAAGACATTATTTGACGACATTTCTCATGGTTGGAATATAGCCGACTTTATAGAAGATATATATGAGTGACCTTGTCTTATCATGTTTACGACACAACTGCCTATATCTTGGTATTTTCTGAACCAGAGCAGGGGATATGCCGCTATTTAGGTCGTCAACATAGTAGGATATGGTCACGAATATAATTTTCTATTTATTACCGAAGTCTTTAATTGAGGAAATTACGCAATAATCTACTTTCCAACAAAGGCAGACTCCCCGTCATCATTGTATTTAGAAGGCGACTTCTTAGAAGCAACGTGTAGAATCTCTCAACATTGTTCATGATGTCATGTCACCATGACAAAGTGATATTTTACCCGGTGCATATCGTGTGAAAACAAATGTCCCCTCGTTGGTTATATGCATTTTATTATCATCCTTTGAGGTTAATGTCACCCGTTGATTTCTTTGTTGTATTTTGGGCTGTGAAACTAATGTTTTCCTTAGTATACCTTTAACAATTAAATGTCAACAAACATTGTATGCCTTACAGAAAGTTTGACTTTACTTTGATAACGAGCACATATGATCGATTGCTTGGCGTTAAACGATACTCCCAACACATTTTGGTAATACATTTAAGCAGAATATATTAATTCTTTCTTGTGTTTTCGCACTAAAAAGTTAGACATGTGCAAAACAATACAATTTTCGCTGTGAACTCAAAATGAGCAAAAAGTACCCCAATCAACTGGTGTAAGGGGAATCCCGCCAATACACGTTGATATACAGTTGGATCAAAATCTATTCTTTCTTGAGTTATCGCGCTAACAATCTTTATATTGGCAAATTTTTGACGTTTTTGCTGTGACCTTGCAAATTATCTCAAGGTCACTAAATTCAACTGGTGTTGGTGAATCTAGTCACGACATCTTGGTACCAAATTTGAACAAAATCAATCATTTCTTGAGTTATCGCCCTAAAAAGCTTATATTATTTATGAAATTTAACGAAAAACGGACACACGCGTATTTACGAATGATTAAAACTGTTATTACAATTTACGAAAATATTTATTACATTTTACCGCAACTAAAATTACTACAATTTGCGTCAATTTTTATTACAATTTGCGTATTACAATTTACGTCAATTTTTATTACAATTTGGGTATTTATTCCAATTTACGTCAAGGGTTATTACAATTTGCTGCAAGTATTACAATTTACGTTTTTATTACAATTTACGTCGTAACACCCATGTGTTCAAATGTGACCATCCATGCAAATGCCCAAGACCACGGTAAATCTGTTCGTGTCCAGTAGTGAGACCATCAACGTTCTTCGATCCCACGAAGTCAAGAGTTGTCTGTCCTGCCATATCAATATAACATGGAGTTGCAGATGGAATTTCAAGTCCCCCTTGCGACAAATTAGATCTTGAGGGTTTATTTGTTAATAATTCCACCTGTATTGTACCGCCTCGGCGAATGAAGAAGTTACACAATTTGCTTTGTTCAATTGGAATATGTCCGACAATAACGTTCTTACTCACAACAGCCACTGTGTATCGATCAAGCGGATTTAAATTGTCACATTGGGTGTCAAAAATGTCACCTGTACTTGGAGACCAATGCGTTATATATATGTGAAACCCTCTTACAGCACTAACGGCAAAATATAGACGAAGTGATTCCATCAAAAACACGTGTTTTGAACATTTGAAAGGGAGATCACTCTAATGGGCTTAATAACGGCAGGGCTTTACGAGGATTCCCGGTATGTTCTATTTTTCTACATATTATCTGTCAACCTCAAGCAAATCTATTTTGCTATATTCCAGCCTCACGATCCCCATTTTGTTTGACTTTTTATCTTGGTAATCGCCAAATCTGCAATAATTGTATCACAAACTTCAGAAAACAAAATGTGCAAGTGAGTGAGCGAGTTAAAATTTTACGTCACATCGGCAATATTTCAGCCATATCGGGACGACAAAGAAGGTATGTACTAAGAATAAATATGTAGATTATTACATAATTTTTAATAACCTGTCAGCGAAGGACAGTATAACAACAAGATTATCACACATTAATAAAAACTAGTTTGAGTTCAGTGGAAAATGCTAAATCATTTCAAAGCAACACAATACAAAATCGGGCTATAGATTGCCAGCAACTGAAGGTACATCACCATACTGGGGACCATGGGGACTTACGTTACTTTTGCTACCTACCCGTGACTGGATTTATATCATGCCCTCGTCTTTTGACGAATTTTGGCGAAGCCATAAATTAAAACTACAAACATTCTACGATTAAAATTCTGGCAATGATCAACAAACATTGAATGGTGTGGTCTTAAGTACCTGATCGATCAGAGTTGAGAGAGAATGGTTGTTGCATGAAGTCACTAGCCATTGTCGCACTTTGCTGTTTCCTCTGATGACTTAACCACACTTATTGTTATATCAGCTACATATTTAAAAATTGTTCATCTAAAGGAAATATATATCTGCTCTCTTTGACCGTAATTAATATAGTAATACTAGTATTTCAGTTACACTATGTATATCAAAAGTTTCTAACTTTCCAAGGTTCATGTTCAAGCTCGTGCTTTGAACCCTTCCCCTTTGTTTATGTACAGTAAATTTACAGTTTGCACCATTGTCATGCAGTTTATATTGTTACTTGTCACCCACGCCCTCAAATCTTAGACGTGGACTGTGTGAGACAAGCAGTGGGGGTAAACCTTGTTTGTTTTCAGTAACCTGGACATTCTGTGGCCAGTTCCAAGGCGACAAGATTTTCTGGAGGGTGGAAGGTGTCAAACTGATTTTGTGGCTGACGCTTTTACTGCTGCTGAGAGATTCTACACGATAGGCCCTGCTATTACTTTGGGCCAAGGATGAAGTTTGTTGCATGTCCCAACATGGGTGGGAGACCTCGACTTTGTTAACTGCTGAACGTTAGAAGAGATAAACAGATTGCATATCTAAGGGACCATTCATAATTTATGTTTCGGGTGGGGTGGGGTGGGGTGGTGGTGGTGGTGGTTTATGATGATTTTTATGGAGAAGCATGTACAATGTGAATGACACCACCACCATGTCTGACGTTTACGATTACATAAACTTGCATACATTTTAATAAGTTAGGATATTGTTTAAAGTAAGTAGTTATTTCTATTCGCCGTACTCGGTGATTAACTAGGAGTGAGTGGGTGAGTTAAAATTTAAAGTCACATCGGCAGTATTTCAGCCATATCGTGACTAAGAAATTTGTAAATTTATAAATGAATAAAAAAACAAATTTAGAGAATATATTTACTTGTCTGCAAAGGACAGTAAAACAACTAGATATAAATTTAAAACTAATAATTAAATCTAAAATATTTTAACTATAAATGACAATACAATATAAAATCAGGCTGCAGATTGCCAACAACTGAAGGTAGATCACCATACTAGA